TTGAGCTGCAGATGATTCTGCTCACACCACGTGACAAAGGGCCGTGTTAAGTTTGCAGCTAAACGTCGACAATCGCCAAAAGTTTTGAGAATGTGAAAAACAATATTGGAGTCAAAATTTGCTGCTTCAGTGTTTTTACATCTTTTTTTCCCGGTTGTTTCTGTGATATATTGAAGTATAATTACAAGCACTTCATAGGTTTCTAAGGTTTTTCTTGACATCAAGTATATGCAAAGAGTCAAAATTAGCACTGTTGGCCGTCTTTTTCAAGACCTCTGCAATCCCCCCTTGTGTGCTGTCGATCAACTTCTGGGCCAAATCCTGACTGATGTGACCAATGACTGTAGAATGATTATGAAAGATTGGGTCACATCCAATGTGTAGAGTTTGTCACAGTTAGTGGGTTTTTGACAAACTAGAGCTGAATTCAGAGCAGAAAAACCGGGGGTCAAAAGTGTTGCAAATGCATATGATATGATCCACAAGCATAAACAAAGACTTACAAATGTGCACAATGATTTGTGTATAACCTTTGAGGACTTGCAAGAATGTGCTGACCACATGTATAACTACTTTACAAATGCATATATCCAAACCTAAATAAATACTGATGATTGCACACTTATTACTTACTTATTACGTTCAGCTTCACAAATCTGGTAATTTTCTCTTTCAAAACCTGTCTGTGCCGGACCTTTGCTTCAAATGGACAAGACAAGAGTCTACTTTACACACCAAGTAGATAAAACATTTTCGAGGTGCAAATATTTTATGTGTGTATACACACTGACAGCTTTGTCCTCAGGAAATGAACTGCAAAAAAAGCTCTGTGTAGGTCTTTGGTTGAGTCATGGACTAAAACGACTCAGAGGATGGTTGGTTAATAAGCTGGAGTGAAAGATTACTGCTGCTGTTCCTCAGTTTGTGCTTTCAGACCTGTGAGTGATATGTTTTTTATTGATTAGCATTCAAATATCTCAGTGAAGACAGAACAAAGATTTACC